TTAGCCCACCCCCCCCCAAAAAAAAAAACCAAAAAAAAAAAAAAACAAAAAAAAAACTTTGCTGGATCCACCACTGAATTCACAAAAGAATGTATGCATCAACAGCTGTAAACAATGATAGTGCAGGCATATGTGAACCTAACCTGCAATCAGGCCTATAAAAATAAATAGCCGGATCTAAAAAGACCCTCTGGCACCAGATAAATTTGGCTAACGTTGTTTACATCATTGCTACCCAATGTTGCTACCCAATTGACAATTTTAGATAACTCACATGCCTAGTTACTATTGTTCTAGTTGACAGAAACATTGAATAGAACAAAAGGTAAACATTAGAATTATGTTTAAGAGTTACTCACTCATTTAGGTAATTCTAAAGCTTAGTTACCTTTGTCCTATTCTATGCTTCTGTATACTACACACGTACGCGCAAGTTGTAACAAACCTGCAGCAGACCTGTAGCAATGCTGTTCCAACAACTTGTTTATTATAACAGGATGTGTCCGCACTGCTTGTTCCCAGCTTGTTGACAACTTGCCACAAGGTTGTTGAGCTCAACAGACTTGTTACAAATTGTTCCAACAACTATCGTCCTGCAATTCAACAATTTGTCAACAAGTTGTGAGTGACAACCTTGTTGCAACTTGATGAAATAACAACATTGTTACAACTTGTCGACAAGCTTGTTGCGAACACATCTTGTTGACAAGTTGTGAGATTTTGTGGCAGGCTCATGGGAGAAGTTTCTCCCATGAACTTGCCAGGCAGGCTATTCCCAGCAATTTTGGAGACAGCTTGAGATACGAGAAATAACTCCGCCCAGACTATCCTCGTATAACAAATAAAGGATAGCCCCTGATCTCTCGCACCACAACTAACATTCTCTACAATTTCTAGATTAACTTGTCGAGCGTTAGCGAAATGGCGTGAACGAAACATCCGCGCAGATAACACGAGCGCCATAGTGGTGTTCTTCGACGAACACGAAAAAGCGGTTCCACCTTATCTACCCTATTCTCCGCCAAGCGACACAGAAACGGAACTGGGCGAAGCCACGCCGAGTCTATCCCGAAGTAACTCATCGACGGCTTCGAGTTCGCCCGAAGACATACCGAAGTTGAAACGAGAAAACGCATTGTACGATAGGTCATCGTTCAGTGACACTCACAGCGACAAAAAAAGACAGCATTCGCATGGTTTCGATAGCGAGACAGAAAGGGAACTAAAAAGGATTGTTCTTAGTGACGACTAGACGGTATTTAAAAGCAGTTACAGATGAGCTTGCTTTCTATAAGCCGTTTTAAACTACACAACTTTTGCCAAAAACTGTCGCATACAACCTGCTTACAACTTGAATGGACCATTTGCATTATAGACTAAATTTTGATCTAGACAAAAATTTCATCACAGCTTGAAAGAGCATCACAAAATTAGTAATATTCCAAAGTTTCGTTGCGAAATGTTGCAAAATGCGGATAATATAGCCTTGCGAAATTTGCCGTTTTTCAGTCATTTTGTATTACGCACGGGAAATTGACAGCCCAATCGGGTGTTGGGGCATCAATTTCCCGTGCGTAATACAAAATGACTGAAAATTGCAAACTTCGCAAGGCTATATTATCCGCATTTTACAACATTTTGCAACGAAACTTTGGAATATTACTACTTTTGTGATGCTCTTTCAAGCTGTGATGAAATTTTTGTCTAGACCAAAATTTAGTCTATAATGCAAATGGTCCATTGTACTGTGTAAATCAAGCACACCAGTCGTCTAAGTTGTCGTAAGTGAGTTGTGTGTTTAACACAGTACAACTCAAGTCCTAGAACAGGTTTTCGTATGGCAACTTTGCCAATTTAAACAATATCGAAGGAACGAGATTCAGTTCCGAAATGTCACTCTCTCGAACCGTCCTGACCGCGCAGCTCAGTTGGCAGAGCATTGGGCTAGTATTCCAAAGGTCGTACGTTCGATTCCCACCGTGGCCAGGCATATTTTTCAAGCTTGTCCGGTGTGGATAATACACTCAGAGCAACATCACAAACATTACAATATGTACTTTCTGGGTCAACTAAGTAAATTTGAGCACTTGCATCAATCTGTTATTGTAATAGCTAACTAACACGTTAACAGCTATCGCGGAGGTCAGAAACCAAAAACTTGCAATATGAAAACTTGTCATAGAAAACTGGCTCGTCTGTAACCGGCTTTAGTTGTAAGTAGTTCATTGTTAGTGTAGAATGGTACAGGATATAAAATATATAGAGTCTAGTGTTTGTGACCATGTACTGCACTTCCCCGAGTAAAATAAAACCCACCTGCATATAGGTACATGGGGCCGCAGAAAATGTAAATAATTTTATTCCTCAGAGATATGAAAAACTACATTCATATTCGGTTCTGAAACTGCAAAGGACAATGAAAAATTCGTTGTCTCAAGCCGGATTCGAACACACATTCGTTCTCTGCAGTGCTCAGAATAAATATGAAACCAACTAGCAATCAATTCACGTACCATATAGAATTTAAACAAGTTGTTACAGGTCTGTTCACAAGTTGTCGACAAGTTGTGTTCGCACTGCTTGTTCCCAGTTGTTGTAACAAGTTTGGAACAAGCTGTTAACAACTTGTTACAAGCTTGATGGCATTATCAGACTTGTTACAAGGTTGTTTTGACAAGTCTGATACAGCCATGATATAACAAGAATGTTGCAAGGTTGACCACACAAGGTTGTAACAATATTATTATGTCATGACTGTAGCAGACTTGTTGGAACAACCTTGCAACAAATCTGATAATATCAACAAGGTTATTACAAGCTTTTAACAACTTGTTCCAAACTTGTTTACAACTTGGGACAAGCAGTGCGAACACAACTTGTTGACGGCTTGTTGGCAGACTTGCTACAAGATTTTTATGAGTGTGCGTGAATTGGGTGGAAGCTGATGTTGTCTATACTTATGGCCATGAATTTCGTCGATTTTAGCTGTCAGAATCAGTACGAAATTTTTTAAATAAGAAATATTTTTTATATCTCTGAGTACGACTCGGTAATTCTATAAATTTTAATGGTTGTAAAGAAATTTTAGTAATTGAAAGTTTTTATAGTGATTTAATCGAAACACTAGCCCAATTTTCTTAACTACAAGGCTTAAGGCTTTTTACAATCACTATAATAAACAACTTTTGCGTGTATATGATATATTTTCTCAAATATTATGAATCAATGTTATCAACGCGAAAGTGGACTTAATTTACGTCCAATTATATAAAATCAGTAGCAAGGCATTTTAATTATTCATAAGTTTATAAAACTTCTTTTTATTTTGTCAACTTTCAGAAATGTTTTAAATGATTTTGTAGCTACCATGTGTATGGTAGAGTATTTTTGTAAATAGACATTAATTTATTAATTTTGGGACATTTTTAACTTATTCAAATATGACATTGTGTGTTTTTAAGAATTATTACGTAATGTATGTATGTGAAGTGAAACAGTAAAATCGTATATTGGAAACCATTAAAATGCACGGTAGATGGGCAATGCGTTCTGTATTTGTATTCTGTACATGCATTCAGTTAATAATATACAGTACAGTCTACTGTATATTAATGTTCGTCCTTTTGGGCAGAAGTAAAATTCTGCATATTAAGGCCATTTTAGGCCATCCTTACACAACTTATAATTTTCCTTATTGAAAAGTCTCTTCACGAATTTTTTTTTTAAACTTTTTTCGTGCGCGAATTTTTTTTTTCTGTTTCCCCTGCTCGACTTTTATTTTTGCTTTTGCCCCCCCCCCCCCCCCCCCC